TAACCAAGGAACTCGGCGATGTCTGTGTCGCCGCCAGGACAAAGGACTTCCCTGCAATCTGCGTCCTTAGTGAGAGCGCTTCGGATCTTGACCTCAGAGAAAATTCAAGAGTAAGTTGCCTAAGCAGTTCAACCCCGTTTGCTTGTTGGTTTACTGCTACTGCCACTCTGTCACTAGATCCTACTCCATGTAATGCCACACCCTCACTGAAAGCGTTCACCAACGCCACACACCTGGGGTTGTCGTGAAACGCAGCTTTTAAGATGGACATAAGCCTTCGAGACCTTGCCTGTTGTGCTCCACTGAGCGCACTCCATCTGATGGGACCGGGCCAACGGCTACTATGCTGGATTTCTACAGAAAATTCTAAACTTCCACCAGCTGCCCAGGATGACAACTCATCCAAATAGCCAGCCCAACCTAACACCTCTTCTTCTCTTGTCTTCCAAGTTCCTACTGGTGTTGGTGCCGGTGTCAACCATTTTTCGCTTTTGGCGAAGACATCCAATTGCTGTGAACTTCCATGATTTGATTGTTGAACACCAAAACCAGGCAAAACATCAAATGGCTGCGGAGTCGCAAACGACGAATCAGCTGCCCTACCAAGACCATCACCAAACACTTCTGGAACCCCTCTTCTCTGTTGCATAGTTACAAAACGATCTTGCATATGCTGCTGCACTGTCTGTAGCTGTCCCTCACTCATGCTACCTAACATGGCCATGACCTCTTGGATCTGCGCCGCCTGAGGCGTCAAGCCTCCCAAGCTCGCTCCAACCGGGCCACTCGGCATGTTTCCTTGGCAACTCATTGGGTTCACTCCTAAGTTTGGAAAATCTCCAGACCTTGGTCCACCAGGCATACTCGCACAACCATAACTTGGCACACGCGCTTGCGAATTCTGTTGCATAAACGTTTGTTGTTGGGGAATCCATTGCGCACCAAACCATGCTGGTCCCAGTCCTTGCATTCCGGGGACATTTCCTTGTTGACATCCCTGCACCGGACCTACCTGACCACCTGCATCCAGGTTTGTCGTGCTCGCAAATCCCTGTACGTTCTGTGACACATTTGCTTGTTGTTGCTGTGGCTGCTGCTGGGGCATGTTACTTACTTCAGGTGTTTGTCCATCCATCCCAGATCCACTACCTTGCTGACTAGGCGTTCTTGGCACTGGCGGCAATCCGTCACTACGGTTACAACCACCATTTCCGGTACCACTTCCTTCACCTCTTTCAGCCATACCAGGACTAGGACAACCTTGCACACCTTGACTCACACTACCTGGATCCATTCCTACTTACGCGCAGCAAGCAGGCAGCTCCGCTACCATGCAGAAGGTACGCAACCTTCGAAACCCTTGGGTCAGCGTCCAGGACGTCGTCCTTAACTCACTAGAACCGTCCACGCTACCAAGTCAACCACTCCCAGAGCTCAGCCACTTTTACACACAAGCAACAGAAACAAGATGTTTGCTCATGTCGCTATGGTTCTTGTTGGTGTGTCACGCCTTGACACAAAATGATGCGGAGTCGCCAGTCAGCATCTTTCTGCTAACTTTCACAAAAGCGATCAAAAACACATGTCCTCACAAAAGGTCTTTACATCAAGACATGGTTTGTTTGTTTAAATAAGTTTGAGTGTTTGAAAAACGTTGAAACATTTCAAGCACCAAAACATGATTCATGATGTCTCCCTCAGATCTGTTAGCAACTCCAGTTCTGAATGCCTTTCAGAACGTTGCTCTATCATCATTGAGAGACAAAACACACTACTCTTCTCCAATCAATGTCAAACAAAGTTCCTTCTTCCGAAGTCACAAAAATGAATTCTACGATCTTCTCACGATTCCTTCGTGCACTTCGTCGACGACAAATAATGCAAAAGGTATGGAAAATGGTTTGATTTTCCATGTCACTATACAAATTCAAATCCTCACAATGTTCTCCGTGCAATCAAAGTACTCAAAGAAGACGAAAAGTATATCGTTGTTGGGTTTCGTCATCTCCAATAAAACGTGCAAAACATGAAACGTGCAAATACGATGTCAACCATCACGGTTGTGCTCATCATCAAGATGAAAACCAAATTCACTTCTTCCAATGCAGAAAAGACCAATGGAATCATCTCACCACAGATGTCAGACATCTTCTCACAGATGTCATATTTTCACAGAAGCTGAGAGTTGACGCCATAGATGAAATACTGGCAGGCATCTCCATCCTACTTGACTCCCAGAGTTTCGTAAACAAAGGCAAAGGACTTTTGGGAAGAACATTTGATTTGAAGTCGGCCTACAAACAATTTGGAGTGGATGTGCCACATTCGGAGAAGAAGAAACCTGGTGGAGGAGTTGCATTTTTCAGAGTTTTGGCATTACTCTTCTAGAGCCACTGGCAGTATTTTGGCTTTCTCAGGATTTCATCTGCAATTGCGTTCATAGGCTCGAAGGGTCTTTGCATTCCATGTCAGTATACTGCACTGCCCTCTCACCGTCAGACTGAGCTTAGCACCACATTTTATGCAGAAGCTTTGTTCAAGCTACTGGGCATAAACTTTGTCTCAGAAGGATCAAAAGGACCCTCATTCTCAGACTGCTTCAAGACTTTGGGACTGGTGAACACAGAGAACGTGGAGAACCGAGAGGTCAAAGTTGGGCACACGGAGGAGAGGTCGAAGGAACTTCTTGAATGCATTGACGAAATCCTGCGCCACAACTCCGTGGGAACCAAGCTCTTGAAAGGTTGCATGGCAGGATTGTCTGGTTTCGCACCTTTGTTTTTGGGAGAAGACTGAACGCGGCCCACTAGGGTCCTGTCATGGCACTCGAGAAAGTCCGTCGATCCGCGTTGACGGTCAACTGAGATCGACATTGGGAACATTGAGAAATCACCTGGTGTCGAGCAGATATGTGTCCATAAACCGTGATGACGTGGATAATTTTTACGGACGGCGCTTTTGAGTCCACCAATACACAACCTGCTTTAAGAGGTGGATAGGTGGAATCCTAGTGAACCCAAGTGGGAAAGTCGTTTCCTTCTTCGGTGCATACACTGAAGGTACGCTCATGTGGTCGAAGGTTTCCAGGCTTTTGAGGTCCCAAAATGGGGACCGATTTGCAAGACATAAGCGCTGTGTCTGCTAGAACAAAAAGTGTGCAGTTCTCTGTCCGTAGTGGCAACCTACACAGGCACACTGCCATGCTGCATGTGTGAGTCCAAGTCTTTTTTTTGAGTTCAGGCACCGTGCACTGTCTGCTCATGCGCAGGTGATGATATTGTCCAATCGTCCTAGCTTCCAATCTTCCTATAGCTGCTTTTCTCTAGTCGTTCAATGGAACCCTTTTCCTGTCGAAGCTGTTTCTACTCCCTATAGCAGTCTTGCGTGCTGGGTCTCTCCAGCTGAAGCATGCCAGGTGTCCAGGCAGGACACAGATGTGTCACATTTTAGATTGGCTTTGCACTTGCTTCATGGATCCGGTGTTGCACATCTTTGCAGCATTGCCGGGATGTGCCACAAAACATGTCTGGTCACCGCCCAGGCGTTGCCATCTCCAGATGAAGCCGGGATTTCGCTCCACACGGATTGCTCGCTTGAAGGCTGTGAAACAGCAGGCCTTAGCCAAGAAGAAGGAGATGGCTAAGGAATTGAAAGCCGCGCAGAAAAAGCTCAAGAAGGTCAAAGGGGCTTTGAGTTTGCTGTCTGATGAGGATTTGAATCAAGCTGTAGCTGACCGCCAAGCTGCGGCGAAAGCTGCGGCCAAGGTCTCTGCCCACCCATGAACAGACAGTGGGCTGTGCGGACTCTGTTGGGCCGTTTGGCCTTTCTAGCAGGCATGCGTGCTGAAGCACATTTTCAAGGAGCGTTGGTGCCGCAAGGCTGCTAGATTGTGTCGAAGCGACATAGAGAGCGTGTTGAAGCCAAGGCGCGAAAAGTTACCAGCTGTTGAGACGATTTCGTTTCCCATGTTTGTTCCCAGTGGAGGAGAGCATACAGTGTTCATTGAAAGCAACAATCTTTGCATTCCGACAATTCAGTGTTTTCTCTCCTTCCTCCCATTCCTCTCACGTCATGTAGATTAGATTGGTCGCAAATTCCATCAAACAAACAACAAAATGTGCATGCGTTTGTCATTGTGATGTGGCTTCCATTTTGTGCTTTGTTTCAGATGTGTCACCAACAAAACAAAGTCAAACAAACAACAAACTGTGCATGGAGTTGTCGTTGATGCCGCTTCCAGTCTTTGCATTGTGAGTGTCAGATTTTGTTGCGGTTAGACTTTTTACCAATGAATTTGAACAAACAACAATTTAGTGAGGACTTGTCATGGATGTTCTTTGGCAGTTCAGTGAGTTGTGACGGTGGCTTTTTCAACATTTGAGATTTTCAGATCGATTTGTGACCCTCTGGAAGCGAGAATTTTGAGTGGAACTTTTCGACCCGGAAGTCCAGAATTCGAGAACATTTCGTTTGCTGTGCAGTGTGTTCTGAAGTTGAGAAACCGATTGCTTTTCAAGTCAAGTTCAAGATTAGACCCGTCATGCCGTATACCCAGAGCCAGCAGGAAACCTTGCAGGCTGGAAGACAGCAACTCAAAGCGGTTGCTCAAGCTAGGTCATGCGACCATGTGCCTCCTAAGCAATGGTCTCGCTGCAACCGTCAAGATTTGCTTGAGATTTGTTCCTTGGACCAGCAAGAGGTTTGTGCTTGCTTCAGTGTGGCAGTAGGTTGCATGCCTTGGTGATTGCAGACGAAAGACAGACAAGTTTTGTTGTTTCATTTAGTGGTAGGACCTGGTAGGTGGTATAGGCAGTAGCAGTTTAACATTTGAAGCGAGACAGGTGTAGAGAGACAGGCAGACAAGCCGAGCGCCTGGTCACCATGCAGTTAGACAGCAAAGCTCCAACCATTTTGTCACCGTGTGAGTGGACCGCTTTGCTGCCATCCATGAGTCACATCTTTTCACCTGGTGTGATGTGTGACCCGTGGGAGATAGTGTCATGACCTGGGAACAAACTTGCGTCTCAGACGATGAATATATTGTGTGTTTCCAGCATGTGATGAGCTCAGGTGGCAACCTCCTTGACCTCGACTTGGCAGAGGTAGAGCGGCGGCGAGTTGTTGAAACAAAACGCAGCTTGGAGGGTGAAGTCGATGATTCGCAGGCGGAAGTCCCTTTGCCTGAAGCTCCCCCCGAAGAGGGGGGACGTTCTGGCCCATTCCTACTCACTGGCACCTCTTTTCTCTTCACTTGGAATGTTGGCAGCCCAGAAGATCCACATGCTGAGTGGCTCAATTTTTTGCGCTGGCGTGCTGAACAGGCAGTGGGCCCGTTCAAGGGTGTTCGATATTCTGCAACCATGGAGGAGTCGCTGCGAAGTGAAGATGTGGGCCGTGTCCACATCCACGAGCAGAGGGAAGTCTGCAAACGGTTGACACGTGCCAGTCTGGAGCCTTTCCAGTACACAACCATGGCTGGGCTCCTGGTGCGACCAAATTGCGCAGTCAATTATTTAGAAGCTGTGGGCAGCAGCAGCGCGGATGGGGCTTCACGCGGTCGTGGGGCTGCTTATCGTGCTGCTTGTGACCGAGCATATTTTTATGTCCAAGCCAACAAATATGGAACGCTGTTCACTGAAACGGATTGGGCTATGCAAACCAACTTCAGGGTGCAGGCCAGGTGGTTTGATGATTTGGTGGCCCGTGGCAAATTGAGTCGCGACCAATGGCTACAATATGCAGCTGACACGACCGTTGGCTTCAGCAGTCGCAAACGAAACTTTGAGGCTTTGGAGGTCTATGAGAAGGAGAAGGCCATGGATGTGGATGCAGCGGAGCTCCGTGAGAAGATTGCGTCTGCATGTCCTAAGAAGCCTTGGCGGCCAGACCTGCTCCAGCAAGCCAAGGCGGGAGGGTACACAAGGTTGTTTTAAAGGTGTGGGTTTGAAGGTGTGGGTTTCTCCAAAGTTTCACAACATTGCTTTCAAGTGCCGCATTGCTTGGCGTGCTTGTTTTGACATGTTGTGATCAGTGCGGAGTTGTGCCCCCACAGGACTGGCTGCAACAGTTTGTAACGGTCAACGACCGGGCAACTATCTTGGTTCTGTGGGGCCCGTCGCGAAGTGGCAAAACCCGATTTGCATTGTCTGACGTCTTTGGCCTGAAGCCCTTAAAAGTGGATGTTGGTGATGGAGATGCTCTGAACATTCAATCCTGGGACCATAGAACCCACTCACACTTGGTCTTGGATAATGTCAACGGAAGTGACTTCATCATGCGGTGGCGACACGTCCTGATGGGCCCACCAGAGCCTGTGCAGTTAGGTCAGAGCAGCACGGGCATGTATGCATACAATGTGTTTCTCGGCCGAAAGCCGGTGATTTGTTCCATGGATGAAGACGCTGTGTGGGACAATAAGAAGTGGCTTGATGCAAACTGCGTCGTCATTTGGGTTGGTGAGAAATGCTATGTGCCTTAAAAAAAGAGCGCTTCGGCGCGCACTGTCACTTGGATTGCATGACATGCGTTGCTTCAGTCGCTGATCTCCGAAACTGCCTAGAGTTGGGTTGTTGTATGTATGGTTTTGAACAACACACAAGCCGCATGTGTTTTTCCGTCCTTCCCTGTTCTTCTGTGCAAGCCCCATGCTCAATTTAGAAGCTGAAGTTGCCTTGCAATTGCTTTGTAAAATTTCCTCCAGCGGTTGTTGCTTCCAAAAAAAGTCAAGAGTTTGTCCGTGTTAAAAGCCAACCTGTGCAATGAGATCAGACAGCATGTTTCATGAAATCCGGCTTCGTGATGTTTGTTGTTGACTCAAGGATGGTTGTAGCAGGACACCACAAGCACGAGAGGACCGTAGATTTCGACCTTTGTTGTGAGCATGTGTTTCCATCCGACAGCCTCGACTAGGTCTAGGCACTGGTCACCCCTGAACTGACTTTATAGGATTTGCATTGTACTAGCTGTTTCAGCTTTCCACAAGCAATCACAAGCAACAGTTAAGGCAGACCATGCTTTGTAGGCTGTTCGTCATCATAGTGGCAATTCCTGGACACTAGTCTATTCATTGTGTTTCAGCGTTCCATGGCGGACGGTGGTGCGGAGGCTACATCTGCACAGCATTGTGCTGATGCCGAGGACTGACGTATGGGTGCTCTGACGAAGTGAGAGCGATATCTTTAATGAGCAGTGCAAACGTTGCCACCTGACCAACTTGTTTGCTAACTCGGGTTTGTGGGAGGTCGCAGGAACGAGCTCCCATTTGACTCCTTTTGTTTCGCTTCGCGTGTTCTTTTGCGTTCTGCGTCGCCGCGCATTCTCATTCACATTTTCATTTTCATCCCGTCATCATGACGCGCCATGATTTTGAAACACGTTTTCACTTCAGACTTCCGTGGCATTGTCATGCTTGAGGCTGTGGTAGGGTGGGCTAAGACAAAGTTTTTTGCCAGCATTTGTCGATCAGGTCGGCGTCATGCAAACCCGACTTTGCTCAATATAAGCTAGACTGATCCGCGCATTGGGCGGTTTGGGGGGGTGCGGCCAATACAACGCTAGACAAGCTGTTGCGGCTGGAGTAGAGCTTTCACTACTTCCAGGATTCTAGGTCCCACTTTCCATTCCTCCACTCCTTTCTGCGTTTAGGGAAATACTATTGTATACGGCCAAAGCGGGGACAGGGTCGTAATCTGTCACAGACAAGGGGATTAGCGGGTCGTAATTTGAGAGTGCACGGGTCGTAATTTCAAGTGCGAGGGTCGTAATCTGTCACAGACAAGGGGATTAGCGGGTCGTAATTTGAGAGTGCACGGGTCGTAATTTCAAGTGCGAGGGTCGTAATCTGTCACAGACAAGGGGATTAGCGGGTCGTAATTTGAGAGTGCACGGGTCGTAATTTCAAGTGCGAGGGTCGTAATCTGTCACAGACAAGGGGATTAGCGGGTCGTAATTTGAGAGTGCACGGGTCGTAGTTTCAAGTGCGAGGGTCGTAATCTGTCACAGACAAGGGGATTAGCGGGTCGTAATTTGAGAGTGCACGGGTCGTAGTTTCAAGTTCGAGGGTCGTAATCTGTCACAGACAAGGGGATTAGCCGGTCGTAATTTGAAAGCGTAAGGTTCGTAACTTCAAGCGCAAGGGTCGTAATCTGTCACAGCCAAGGGGATTGTCATTCTGTGTCCGGGAGACCGTGGACCATGTGCCGTTCGCACTTTCGACCAGTTTGTGGTGAGTGCTGCGAGATTACATGGCATTTTGCCGTCATTGTCGTCATGCCGGGGTATCCTGAGGTCTTTGGGCGGTTTCCAGATTGGGGGCTCAAAACCGTAGCTTTCCTGCAACCACATCGGTGTTCCTTAGGAGTACCTCCCGCAGCCTCTCCTTGAGAATTCTTAGCGGAACCATCCAATCTGTGAACTGGAGATCCTTCCTTTGCTGGTTGCTGTCAAGATATGGTCAACGAATATAGTAGGCAAGCTTGTGGTTCACTATTTGGATAACGATGCAGCAAGATCTGCTTTCGTTCGTACCCATACCTCGACCGACCTTGGAGCAGCCTTGATTGCTGAATATGTCGAATTTGAATACAAATACCGTTTTTCTCCATGGTTCGCGAGAGTTGCAAGCCATAGCAACCCGTCGGATGAACGCACGCCACGGGGATGGTCGTTACTTGCGACCGGATTTTATTGAGCGAACCCCACCCTTCCTGGGCTCGTCCCATCTTCGAACAGGGAGCACTCTCCCATGTCTGTATTCCCGGCCAACTTCCCCATACTCTGCCTCCCGGGGGACAAGCTTTTCCAAAGCAAAGAGTTGGATAAAGGGTGCAGCCTGCCACCCATAGTACATGCCCTTCCATGGGAGCAAAGTAGGTCTCGGACAAAAGCTCCAACAGTGGCAAAGTAAAGGACTGCAACCACTCGCCGTTTCGACGAGGCACCCCCGCTATGGACACACCCCACAGGTTGCGATTTCGCCAGAGGAGACAAATTAGTGGCCAGACCACATGTCTCCGACAGAGCGCAGCCTGACCAAGACGCAGGTGTTGCTACAGAGTCTCTGGACGGCAGTGGAAGTCCCCAATCACAACAACAACCACACACCCTGGCCCCAGACCTGCCAGTGTTGACATGTTGGGTTGCTTCTCATGTCACACCCTCGTTTGTGTTTGCGCACATCCTTACGGTGTTTGTTTTTGGTGTGTTTTTTTGTTGTTTGCTTTCTGTTCTTTGTGTTTCGGTTGTCAATTAATTAATTTCATTTGCAACATGCTTGGAAACATGTTGAACGACCTGGCGGAAGCCATAAGGCGTTGGACGGAAAAAAAAACTTAGGTGATCGTACGGTATGGGGTTCTCCCAGACCGATCGGTACACACGTGGTACGGGACCGACGGGTCTCACCTCACCTTGTGTCTGGGGTAGCAACACCCAATGATGACACTGGGGAACAGGCAAGGTCGGTGAACCTCTTAGAGACTTGGGGACTTGTCTCGAGGAGGGGTCAACGGGGCAAACGGTCAATATTCATACCGTCGGTTCCTCCCTAACAGTGTTAGGGTCCTGTCGCAAGACAGTGTATCCCCCTGGGATACATAGGATCGCTAACGACTGGGTCACCGACCGATTCACTCTCAACCTTCGGGGAGAGTGGGCTCAATGTACAGTCTGGCCACAGTGAGGACCTTGTTTTTTGGCTCTAAGGTCCGAGCTGTGCTCCATAGGGACTGGGGTCACTGAAAAGGTGACTAAGACTTTCCACTCCTTTCTTGGATCGTCTTCTCCGGTAGCCGCTGGAGTCCGGGAACCTATGGGGGCATCATGAGTTGGTCTCTCTTGGATTGAGTGGTGATCATCTTGGGTGAAATGAATGGGTTCCGTCTCCACGTCCATTCGGGGTGTACGGTTTACGCTGTACATTCTTGGTGGAAATGAATGGTTTCGGTTCCCACGTCACTCGGTGAGTGGATCCACTCTCCTTGGCTTGACCTGGGACTCGTGGTGTGGAAAGGGTACCGCCCCAGGGTGCGCCTGGTGCTTGCGTAGGGCCATGCTTCTGCGTGGTTTTCGCCTTTTTGGCGTGGCCCTGCACTGGGAGCCCAAAGGTACCAAGCGGCGCAGAAACCACAAGAAATTAACATCGCATGCCCGAAACGTTCCTGTGACGAGACTCCGGTGGAGGGAGCAAAGCAGTTGCTCCAGGCAGTTAAATTTGCTGCCAAAAACATGCCTGGTTTTCGCCTTGGTTTGGACGAAGACTTTCAAATGGCTGGATGTTTCCAGGAGCTCATCCGTGGATATACAACAGGGCTCGTTGAACCATACATGATGCGAGGTCTCCAACCACTGGGACCGAATCGCACTACTCTGGAAGTTATCACTCCCTCTCACGCAGGGCTCACGCCCGAGAAGTGGAAAGAAACAGCCACATTGTGCCCACTTGATTGGCCTTCCAACTACAGTCTTTTACGATTGTGGCATACCAATGGGAGCCTCCATCAAACGGAAGCGCGACTCAGGAATCAACTGTCGCACAGCCATATGTTTGCTGAGTGGACAGTGCATCTCCACAGATTTGCAGAGCGCGTCTTATTCCAGCAACCTGCAGTTTATGTAGCGGGACATGCCTTGCAAACCAACCTGCGGGAACGAAACTTCCCAGACAGGAAAGTCCGCAGGAGGGTTCCGCCGGAAGACCTGGACGAACATCAAAGGGCGATCCGAGCGCTTCTGCAGCGTGCTATTGTCCAGCAAGGAGTGAACCCAGTTTCGTTTGGGCTCACCAATGAATGGAATGACACCATTACATCAGACAAAAAGCACTATTTGGAACATTTCACGAGAGGTATGACATGATCCCCCGCCCACCCCTGTTCGCATTACTTATACCCTTTTTGTGTCCACCCCTTCTCTTCTCTCCCTTTCCTCTCTTCTCTTTTTCACTCCGCATTGTCCCTGGCAATATGTGGCATTTGCTTCATCAACAATGTTGGTGGGAGTTGACTTAACTCTCTATTTGGTCCTTTCGTCAATTCCACTTAAGGTTCCTGTCCATACCGGTGTGTCTGTCCAAAGACGTGACAGGTGCACTGGTCGGCAGTAGGGGACACAACTCTCCCTCATGTATAATTGTCAGGTTCATCGTGCTGAGCATACCCGGCCCCTACCTATTCATATCTCGCAAACAGTTGGTAGCCACACTCATTTATAGTTGGTGAGAGTGCCAGCTTAGGCGTAACAGACCGGGCAGTATGGTTTTCCTTTGCACAGTTGTGTAGAATGTGCTGTCGAGTCGAGAGCTTAGACCATACTAAGGTCTCTTCCACCATGAAGCCTATTGCATGAGTGCTTGCACTCGCAGCCTTTGCCTGACAATCATAGATGGGTGATGAAACTGATGTTATTATCCCCAGACTTAATATTGACGAGACAACCACTCTCCCACCCTTTCCACTAGTTAAGGTATCTGAATTCGTTTAC